ATTATGTACATCAATTTGATAACCGATGTCTTAAATAGTCGGTGACCTAAAATTCGATATGTCTAGCTACAGAATTAAAGTAATAAGATGTAAGAACAGCAAAAACCTAAAATTTTGCAATTAATCGACACATGCATTTTCCCCACTATACCTGCGTGATGATACACCATACCTGATGTTGCACATGGCATGGCATCATGTCAATAGCTACACAGACAAAAACATCTGCATACATACATACATACATGTACCTGTCAAAACAAACACGTACTAACATAATGTCACCTTTTATACCTGGAACAAGCGGCCGCGTCAACCGTACGTAGTGAGGAAGGAGAGTGACGGACGGTCACCCGCCGATCAGATACCCGCCACACGCGCGCTACCCCGCGGCGATTCTGTGTGACAAGACCACTGGGAACCCGGGTGAAAGATGACACAGACATCTAATCATATTCCTCAGATAAATTGCCCACATTGATTCCACTAGAAGGGATCTACGTCCACTCATTACCCTCTAATGGGTTTTTGATAGGAGCGCAGTTGAAGGGTACACGTGCCCGCGGGAGGCGGCGGTGACTCTGCACTTGACCTAACGGAAAACTGGTCCATGTTGGCAATGAACCATGAAATTAGTCTTTACCCCCGATCGCAACAGGCTCCCCCACACTCACCTGAGGTGTACGCACGGTCGCTGGCAGATCACGCGGAGAATTTCAGATGTAAACAGTCAGGTTCCTGGTGTGACAAGGACCAGAATTAATGCAGAATATTTCACCAGCGTCCTACAATTCAGCGACGTGAGGACGAACCACTAGACATACAGTCGAGTGGGGTGGGGTGCGTGTGTGTGGTTTGCCAACGGCTGATGCAGACAGTAACATTGAATTCTACTAACTCATATTTCATCTCTAATCGTTCATTTCATATATTGATATCAGAAACCAATTATTTACCATCGTATCCAAAATACTTTTCCACCATCCCCTACCACGAGAAAACAATTTTACTTCTAAAATCAAAGAGCCCACATATTATAGAAGAAGTGGGTAAATTCGCCTTCCACTGCCCGGAAAAAGAAGAAGTCATACCCAGCAAAACTAGTATCACGTATGTTGTAGAATGTTAATATACATGTTGTTTCTACCTGCAGTTAGCATGTACTTGCAATAAACTGTCTATATTAACGTGCAAAAATATTTCCACGTGAAACGTGAATCACACGAAGCTACAACAAAAGCATAGGAACGACTGTATCAGCCTCAGTCGTTTCGCACGAGCAGATAAAACGACTCGTCCCTAGCTACGCCAGGTAAAGCAGTCCCTCATCTCCTCATCAGCTTAGAAGCCGCCGGATTTTCCCCCGTGTGGAACATGCTAGGACTACTTTATGAACAAATAAAACTCCAGAAAGCCCATCTTCGTGTTAGAGACAAAATATAATCACCTTAGATGGTCTTACGTAGGAAGAGGCAAATCGCTTTTAGCAGCTGCCTCATCCTCTGATGGTGTCATTGACCCCGTTGCCATAGAGACAACAAAATTACAGATGGAGGGAGGAAAAATACAGCCTGACCCATCATTTATTGACGTCAGGGCACTTCTCCCGCGCGATTTCATCTCGCCCAAAGGCCCCTCATCCAAGCTCGTCTAATTGATTATTAGTCTCACAATTTGGGTAATGGCCCGTGAATAATCTAATAAACAGTCGCTTGTGCGTGCCGACTGGCAAGGCAATCGAGCAATTTCAACCATCAAATCTCCTCGTAAATGAAAGAGCAAGCTAATGAATAAAACTGACGACAAACAGACGCGGAAAAAAACACTTTCACTTTTAATTCCTCGTGACGGGCCCGGACACACGCCTGTGACAAGAATAGCCTTTGGCAGGAGACCTTATTAGTAAATTGAAGCATTGCTCGCGTCTTAGATATGAGTGTCTGGGAGAGGCCTGGCGCTGGACAAATGAAGAGAAAAGATGACCACGCGCGGTTTGACCTTTGAAGAAGGACAAATTGAGTGAAAGTGCTCGTCCTGACCCAGATCCATACCGCTGTTAAGCGACATCGAGGCTAGAATCTAGATTATTCTTTTCTACTCTCTGTGATAGTACGGACATCAGGCACGCGCCGGCGTTACGAGACAGAATAACTGGCAAGAGCAACTGGAGTGGTACGTACAAGGGTGCCGCTGAGAAGGAGACAGTGGTGACGTTATTACCTTATAAGATACGGAAAGGCATTGGAGAATAGAAAATCAAATGATCTACCAGTCTGGTACCTACGTCATTCTAGCCCCGATTCGCTTCTCCGATCGCTGTCCTTACCAGATATTCTGCAAATACGATGAGCCGTATATTTAAACTCTAATATGAGGTAAAGTTTAGTTACTAGTGGAAAGAGCAAGTCTGTTTTTGTGGTATTCATATTTCCGTCTAAATTCCCAGAGCCCCTTCCAATTTCCAGTGACCAGTAGTGTCACGTGTAAGTATTAGATTTAATGACGGGACGGGGTATTTAATTATGCAAATCTATGGGCTCGATGGGAGTTAAATCAAATCATTTCCAATTGACCCAAAGACGTATCCAGACGAAAAACATAAATATGTACCATTGGCATTCTGCAATCCCATTGGTTGAGAGCTGTTATGTAAACCAATGTTAGAAACGTTTGGTATGTGTGTACATGTACCTGATATAAGTTGAAAATGATTTATTTCAAGTTCCACCAAATCCATAAATTTGCATCTGGGTAGTCATGTGACGTCGTCAGTGAGCGGAAAGTTGTTACGTAGCCATTTCTTGAGTACACACGTCTTCTTCGGAATGATGTTTATCGTACAATTCTCTAAGATTGATAGAGAATAATGAACTCTAATCCACCCACATTGAGCAGCACTTTGCATATGCACGCATTGCTGATGGCACGTGAGATTAAATATAAGTACAACACGCGACGCCTACACACCTACGGTAACAAGCTTAATTAGACTCCTCGTTAATCTACATTTTAAGGTGCGGAGCATGTCGCCACCAACACGAGAAATGTGATACTAGACTCATACTTCATGCGATTCATGCCCCAAGGCTAATAGCAAGTGACAAAATGACAAAGTGAAGCTAACAGACATAGCACGAAGTTTCTAATCTACTCTATGTAACGTACCATGGAATAATATATATGACATGGAATCACAGCATGACTGCTGATGTTCACAACGACTGTAAAACAAGAGGGAAGCCTACCTAATCTTCAAGCAGATCTTTTGGTGGCCACAACACAGTATCACATTGGCAAGACAGTATCACATTGGCAAGACAGTATCACATTGGCAAGACAGTATCACATTGGCAAGACAGTATCACATTGGCAAGACAGTATCACTTGGCAAGACAGTATCACTTGGCAAGACAGTATCACATTGGCAAGGCAGTATCACTTGGCAAGACAGTATCACATTGGCCAGGCGGTATCCAATACGCCACCCATTTGGCTGGCATAAGAAGATACCAGTACAAAAATTAAAATCCGATAAAACACCCTAAACACGTCAAAAATAAGCCGAAGACTCAACCTCTGCTTGGAGAGTAAATCCCACCTTCAGTCACTGTTCTCTTCCAGCCAGTCACAGTCACACCACTCGGACGTTTCATCACGCTCACGTACGGCAGGTAAAGCCACGATCTTTTGAAGCAAGGAGCTTCCATGTCCTTGGTTGAAGATAATGCAGAAAGAGGAGGCTGATATCACCTTGGCATATCTCCGCTAGTGTCAGCTTATGATAAATTTGTGCCGCTTTCGAAGCTATTATAGATTCTGACTTGGATATTTTCACGCCTGGTCACGAATCTACGGAAAGCTGATTAACCTGGCAGTGTGCGATAACATCGCCGCTGCAGTTGTGAAGACTGCCGCTCGTACAATTCATGTCCTCCCTCAGTACGCCTGGATATGGGACTGCCGAAACGGAATTAGCCCTTGAAAATGACGCTAATTAATCATACCAACCAAAGGGAGACTTTGATTAATTGCACGGTTCAACAAAAACAGAGGACAGAAGAGTGCAGATGGCGACATTCGTTCGATCGAGTTCAGGAGACGATGAGTGGAAACGATGAACAGTCGACAGAACTATCCAGGGGAAATGTTGCCTGTGATGTTCAAACTTCTTCAGCGATTTACATGGTAGAAAAAGATTAACGCTTCTGTGTAACAAATTGAGCATGGATGGTCCGGTCCTTAGGTTACGCGAGAGGAAAAAGTAAAGGTGACATAATTGTGATTTAAGGGTAGGGTTGGTCTAGTATTGTGGCTTGGAGTAAAATTCAAGGATATGGATGACCGAGAGATGTGGAAAAACACGAGGCAAATGCAAGAGATTTTGCACGCTTTCAACTTTTCTGTTGTGAAGAAGCCATAAAAGATGCAATTTTCATCTTTGTTGTATGTTTCCTATGTTCCCTTTGACCCAATATTGAAATCGCCTCTATGAAGAGACCGAAACCTGATTTCACTACACAAGGGCGTCTCCTAGCGGAACACGACAGAAATGCAATATAGGAAGCTGCCATATGATGCTTATCGAAAATCAACCTACCAGCTCGAACTTGTCATGGGCTGCCAACGTCCAATAAGTGTCGAATGTAGTGAGTACATAGAGTAACATACGGATTACCCCTAGTATTCTTGCAGATCAAATACTGGTTGTTCTTAAGTTTTATTGGACCCAAATCTGTACCTTTCCTGCTTATGGTATAATAGGTAGGTAGGTCTGGAGAAGCTGTAGAATTCAATATCAAAACATATGGACTTGAAATATGAATTTGAAGTGATGACATCATGAAAGTTATCATTTGCATGATGATCTTTATCTGGTTTGTAACTCAGGCAAGCAAGGTCCACATCAAGTTACTGATGTGAAAAAAAGAACCATGAAATTTCACATCATGAAGTCCCTTTTCAAGGATGGTTAAACTCAAGAAACTACTACAACCCTCATAGTGATCTGTTAGACCTGTTTATTCCACCCACACAAGATTTGTACAAAAGGTTTAAAATCATTGACTTGTTCCAGATGTTCTGTTCTTGTTAGCAGGTAACAGCACAAAGAAGTTACACAGAATCAATCATAAGTGCACAACAAAAGAGTAGGATTATTCAAAAGCTGGGTACTCTGTCAGGCATAGTGTTTTAATACTTGAACCATGCTTGGTTATCAACTTTCAACAGATCTGGTTCACTACAGAACAGGCTATTTGGACATGTGGGACAATTTGTCAACAGTGCCTTTTAATTTCAAGGATGGCAACAACAGAGCAAAAACAACAGACTGCAACTGTTAAGAAGGCACTGAATTACAGTATTCCTGATAAAGAAACACCATTGCCTTGCGATACATTTCCACAGCAGCAGATGCTACTGTCCCTTCTAATTGGGGGAGGTTGTCTTTCCAATGTACAATGTTGTTAGCTGTAATATCTTAGATGAAATCACCATCAGCTCTTGGTTATACCCTAGAAGGTGTATCTTACTAGAATTTGTGGAGTAACACAATGTACCAAAGAGAATGGAACAGTGCACATCTGGCCTAGAAAGTTATTTTGGCATCTTTCTGTTGCAACATTTGCTGTTTCGAGACTTACAGGGTATTATTTTCCAGAGGATATTATATGTTGTTATAATTATGCACACAGACTCCTCTTCACACCCAAGGAGTACATATAGTAGCTAGGTCACAGAAACTGATTATATTGATTTAACAATCATCACACCCTGTAAAATTAACTGCCACCAAGACTGGTCAATCTTTGGGCCATTTTCTCTCTAATTGCAAAATGATTACATCTTGTTGGGTCTGTTGGAGGGACAAACCACTGCTTTGGAACCTTTAGTGTACCACACGTTCACACAAAATAAGCTACTACCAGTACATGTGTAAAATGACTACAAAATTCCCTTTAAAAATGCATGTCTACTGAACTGTATAATTGGCTGCATACAAAAACTGTCGGTGAGTTAAAACCACACAGAAGGGAGATAATGATAGACTGATAGTACATGTTGACAAACAAAAACAGTTCTTTCAAACTATACTACACAAAAAAGGTGCAGAGTTTATGTAACACCACCACGTGTGCACAGAAGACTGTTGGGCGATTCCTGCCATGATGGTCGAGCGCCCAGCGACAGATCTAGAAGACTACTTGTCGGCCTCCTCGACCCCAGCTTGTGTCATGAGGTCGGCGATGCTCTTCTCCAGCTCATCTATCCGCCCGCCCATGTCATCGAGTAACAGTGGTTAAGGTAATACACACACAATGTCTTCTACAAATGCTTTAAAAATGTCATTGGCAGTCAACACTTGAAAGACTTAATTCACCGGTAAAAAGAAAAGAACTTTTTGCATGAAGCCCAAGGACCATAACACAGGTTACACACACACACACAGAATAAAAAGAAACAGCTGTACCCACAGGGAGTTCTTGGAATAAAGAATTATCCATCCTAAGAAACACACACACAAAACCTAGTCACTCCTACCGGTAATACACACCCATTCACCCACATAATACAGGTCACTTAATCACAGGAAAGAACTTCCTGCTGCATCACTTCCTTCTGGGTTTCTTTGAAACCATGGAAGATACAAAGGAAACGGGCCCTGCTATATGATACATAACGCTTGAGAACATACCATGGCACATTCATGCAAGGAGGGACTACATAACTTGCACAGGACTACATTACTGAGAAAGACCAGAGACCATACAATGAGGTATGTACATGTAAGGAGTTTAAAAAGGAACCTCCATGGCCTTGGTCCTTATTATCAAATTACAGACACTGTATGAATAATGAGTAGCAACCTGACCATTGTAACATTTTGATTTACCTTTTGCATGATACTAGTATTCACATCAATGACAAACATTGAGAGTAGAAAGGATATTCCTTGAGATGATCTGGTCAGACATGGCCTGGAACTTGTCCTGCATCTGTTGTAGCAGTGCCTGGACCTGGAGGGGAGAGGGAAGGACACAGAGTTGAGCTACTTTACTTAAGATTAACCAGCAGTGCTCTTTCCATATGCAATACATGTACATACTAATGTACTACACTCATTCTCTTGCTTATATTGAGAGAATAGCTGCCACCAAACCAAACCAAAGCAAAAAGAAAGACCAGGTAAGCTTGTCAACAAAAGGACTGACTGACTACCTGGAGACTTGCCATATTCAGTCGAGTGGCTGTCAACGCTATACTCATTTGCATCATGGTCTTTCTAGCTTCACAAACAGAAAGTGCTTTGAAATCCAATAACTGGTGTTGCTCAGAGTAAAGGTGAACTATCAACACATTTTGAAAACTGCCTTGCTGAGAAAACATGGATCTTATTGGAACAATGCTGGCACTGGATGGGGAAAAAAGTTACTGGTAGACCAAACACCTGTGTAATATTTAATACACCATAGTAGCTTACCACTTCAGTTGATTCTATCACATTGTGTGGATCGAGAGTTTCCACCTCCTTGCTGTGAACCTTCAACCCTGCATCCATGTTCTCTCCTTTCATCTACTGACTCGACTGACAAACAATCCAAGCTGCTTCCACCAGCTGTGCACCCTGCCTCGGTGGTTTACCCAAGAAGACTGAACAAAATTCCCTCAGACCATGGGATTATATGGGCTCACGAGATCACCGGTGTGAGAAAAGGGGGGTAATTTGTTCTAGTAATGGATTTTTGATGAAAGACGGAAAGCGGCAATTAACCGAACTGCAGGGTTGGTGGGCTGGGTTTTATGGAACATTCCAAAATTATGTTGTAACCTACTTTGGTTCTGTAACAGCAACTGCCAATGAAGGGACTGTCAGATGACAGTGTATTTTTAACTGAAGAATAATACATTGTAGTATAATAAGTACATGATGGCGATGCTACATAGAGGCTTCATACCACCATGTTCGACAAATGGGTTCCAGACAACTGAGTATTAAATACATTTTGTATAGTGGTGCCAACATTCCCAAAATGTGCGAATGCATGATCCTTCTCAAGGGAGTTATCTCAACAGATGCACCTTTTGTATACACCTGTTCACCTCGCATGTTAAACAGCTTTTCATTACAAGAAGGCTCGCATACCAGCATGTGTCTAATATTGGGTTTTACATGTTTTAATGACCTCCCTGTGTGATAATTACCAGACTGTGTCACATTAGCTGGATTTACATGGGTAATGTGATGGAATTTGTCAATAGGGCCTCCTAAGGGGACTGTATTACAACAATGGTCTCCACTGGAAATAATTGTCTCACTTAAAAATCATAATTAAACGCCGCTCAGACAGGAGAGGAACAGGTGCCTTTCAATTATGGATCCTTCTAAAGCATGGCTTTGATGCCTTTGATGATCTGAATAGCTCACTGAATAATAAGCATTGAATGCATACATATATATAACTACATAAATTACTGTAGCTCGCGGACAAAGAAGGATATCTAAGATCAATACATGCACCATGGAGTTTTTTTTCTTCAAAGAAAATTGTTTTTCACACTGAGGTAATGATACATGTAAACATGGTGTATTGTTACAAAGACGGTCAGAAGAGAAACACCCTCTAAATTTTTTCTAGAATTGTAAACTTAATACTTCTGCATAAGCATGCTAGAAAATAATACTAGCTCATTACATTCTGCGCAATATTTTCACACCTGCAAAAGGTAAGTCAAACTCTGAACTGGCGAGGACCCTGCTGCATTGAGCCACCCCATCATGTCTTGTATATATGTAAATATTACTAACGCACTAATGCACTTGTCCCGTCTTTAGCACACACAAAATCAGTTGTCTTATGTTCCCTTCTCATTTATCCTTGTTTTACCTTGTTTTTATGTACTGGATCACAATTGTAACTAATCAATGCGTAACGGCTGCCAATAATCCTACATGGTAGGGCTAGGCAGTAACGGAGATGAAACTCAAAGCTAAGCTAATGGCCTGTCATTCACCCAGATTCAAAGCTAACAGTAACAGCGCAGGAACGTGCAAGAAAGGAAGCATTGTTTGCCTTTTATCTGTGTCAAACAACCTCATTGAAAATGTTCACAATGCCCAGGTGTGAACCAGCTCTACAGACTTGGTAACCATGGAAACAAGCCAGCAACACAAGCTTTGTCTAGGACAGTTTTCCGACAATGGGATTACATGTATCAAGATCAAAAGCAGATTGGTATGGTCTTCAACATTACATCTCCCATGACAAGAGGGCGTTTTGTTGGTGTTGATGTAAGGAAAAATATGCAAAAATCATCTCTTCATAATCCACTCTGCAATTTTCGATGAAAATTTGCTTTAAAAAATCAATTTACTAATAAGGTAAGCGTACCGTTAAATGCAGTGCGATAGTAAAGAAAACGTAACAAAAAGTACGCCTACAATACCACACAAGGCACTTTTGTTCTGAGATGTTGACATATTTTTTCAACGGTTACAACTTATCATGCTTGAAAAAACACCGCAACCGGACATTTAAAAAGTCTGTTTTTCTCCCCTATAAAAGTTCGCAAATCGTGCAAACTGCCACAACGACTCTTAGACATGTTGAAGACGTTGTTGAAGAAGAGAAGGTGGGCTTACGAAAGCTGTGAGGTCCTGAATGTTCTTGGGATCAGCGCCCGTTACTGCCAGATCCATCTTCACGTCCGCCATTTTCTTGCTGTGTACACGGAAGTGACGCTCACCAAGCGCGCATGCTCGAGACTAGTCTAACATTTATCAGGGGTGTTACATTACATCAAACTCTTTGTAGGTTTTCAATATCAGAATATTGTCCAATCTAAGAATATCGTTCTCTGTATCAACTATAGAAATATTAAACGACTATTTGTTCACACTTTGAGGATATAGCTATCTTTCACAACATTAGTAACTGGAATAATGCAGAACATTTCACTGACACACCCCTTAACCAATAATGTCATCACCCCCTTGGCATCCGAACATCATCACAAGGAAGAAGTGCGAAAATCGTCATAGGTGAGACACTTTGAGTATAGTTATCCCAATTTTGACACGTATTGTGGGAATTTCAGGTACTACAATTGGTCCAAACGTCGTTAAGAGATATGTAGAAACTACTGTTTGAGTGGCTGTCTCCTGAGACGTAAAATAGTGGGGTATTAGCCTATTAGGCATTCAGGAATTCGAAGGGTTGTCTTCAGACTTACTTTACTTCCACTGTGCTTTACTTCAAACCAGGAGTTCAAGTCAAGATCGTTCTGTACTGTGTGTACTAATAAGACAACAGTTTTTCACCACCTGACAGGGATTTGTTGTCTTAACTCGTTAGACTCGTCAAAACTTCGAACTTGCCATCTTAAGATACAGAATTTTTTAAATGTAATAGCATACAAGAAACTTCAACGACTATATATAAAGTATAACCTTTAAAGACTATAACTTCAAAGATACATTTTAACCATTGACATTTAGTGCTAATTGGTAGCATTTCTGTATTCTTGTCTTTTTTCTGTTCTCAAAACAGGTCCTTGTGACAATGATAATATTGAATTACAGAAAGCTATGAATTATTGAACGGGCGAAGGGATGCAGACTAATGCTGTTATGTTTATAGTAGGATGCATGAAGACCATTCTTAATGTAGTAAGAGTCGAATTAACAGTGGCCAAACAGTATCTTCAACTTGCTTTGTCCCGTCGAGGATATATTTCCTAAAGAATCAGTTGACTCAATGAGGTTGTTACACATCTGGATGATAACATTGTTGCACATCAATCACAGATAATAGGATTTACGTATTGCAAAGTTACCAGGACTCAGCAAAAATACTGGTGAAATCCAAGAAAAAGATGTACCTTCCTCTTTAGTATAACTACTTCTTAGGCTTTGCTGTCTCATTGTATGATATGGGAGTGAACAGGATACAAATGTACTAAAAGGTAAAACAATGTAAGACAGCCATAATTTGTGCAAGTGGTCTTCAACTCATCCAGAACTCACAAATGGCCACCTGATGTTGGGCTAACTATATAGCTGTATAGCTACATATATACGTGTATTATTCCACAGCCTGCCACAACCAAAATGATATTTTATATATATCCCAACTAAGTGTGTTTCAAGGAGAGGAGTAAACAAAATTGTGTGCCAGCCTATTATGTGACACTCCTGTGAAGTACATGTACAATACATGTACCTATATTGTGATCCTCTCCCATTCCAGTGTTGTTACTGTTCATTTTCTATTGCATGTATTGCAAAGACATACTATTTCAAGAATTTTCCCTCATATTATTATGAAGGAATCACTCTGAAGTTTTCAGTTAAAAAAAGGTTTATTGTACATTGTATTTTTTCCATGTATCAATGAATCTTAACAGTACAATTTCCTCATTGTCAGAGGTGGAGGTACAATTTTGGAAACAAACTCAAACAAGTCCTATTGTCAGTATTACTTCCTGCTTGCCCTGCACAGAGAAGACAAATGTTTGCTACAATTTATTTACCTTTGCTTAAGCTTCTTGGTTGATTTTTCCTGGAATATCATTAAACTTAAAAGGTAATAAGGAAGTTGAAATAAGAAAAATAACATATATGGAGAGGAATGAAGCAATCCTGTATTTTTGTGTCAAATCACAATGGAAAAAACACTATTTCTAAGTTTGACTTTTCAGGAAAATGTTAGGGAAATCCCCAGATACCTGTCCAATACCTGTATGATATATAAAAGTTGGTGACTCTAATTGCTCAGAGAATTTTATCGTCCAGTAAGTTTGAACAATGTTATATCAATCTCGTTTGTATTGATTTTTGTCACTAATTCTAAATGGAAGCATGATGATTCATGGTCTGGAGTAACATATATACCCTTGTACTCATTACAGACTACAGTACAAAGATGTCTACACAACAGCAGCATGTCGACAAGTTATCGTCTTACCTCAAGTCCCACAAACTGTCAGACGACACAGCGGACAAGAGTAGACCATCATCATCACAGAGACAAATGATTTCAAGAGGTGCCAGTGGGTAAGCATGGGTAGCAACAATTCAAGTTGATTGTACACTTGTAATAATACTTTCAGTTTCATGTCTTCTTGATTTCTTTTTAATGTTATCATTTCATAGATACTGTTATACTACTAACCTGTTACTTTTTCCCTGTAACACTAACAGTGGCACTGGGAAGGCCCAAACAGCCAGGACTGGTAGCCCAGCCAGAAGGCCTGGTGACACCAGTGTAAACACAACAAAAACCTCTACTCTCAGGATGCACTTAGCCAAGAAACTCTGCATACAGAAGTAAGGACCATTTGTTTCTTGTGAGTAAAAGCATGAAAACATGTAGGAAAACAATATAAAAAATTCTTCATGAAACTTAGTAAAAGAGGTTGAAGTTTTGAGATACTACTCTCTCAGAAAATATTTGTTGCATGTCACAGTCTGGAACTTTCTTCCCTTATACCTATATATTTTATTTCCAGTATGCCAGATGAAATTTTACTGAGGGTCTTCAGTTTCCTGAATGCAGGGGCTCTCCTCCTGGCTGCCACTGTGTGTAAAAAGTGGTACAGTCTTGCACATGACAAGTGAGTTGATTCCATGCTTTCTACTTCAAGTACTAGTATGCTCAGCCGAGTACAGTCTGTACTTAAGATAATATTTTCCTACCACTCCTTTTCCCACCAGCAAAAAAAATGAATACAGTAACTTGACCCTTCTTTCCTTCTTGGTCCAGCTTCATCTGGCGGTTACAGTATAGAATACATGTTGAACTGGGCGGTCTGGACAAGCTGGAGAAGAAAGAGCCTCATGTCCCCCCTGATGGACAGCTTGCCCCAGGTTACTGGCAGAAACAGGCCATCTCACGGTGGGTACAGATCATCTAACAGTATTTTTGTTTGCTTCATATAAGTTTATAACTGGTAAACTTTTGTTAGGTATAAGACACCTGTTTTCTGCAGACCAGACTTGTAAGGTTTGACCCGCTCACACTGCTACTCAGTTTAGTGGGATCTTTAACATTCCTGAGGTGTGGCTTCCCTCAAACATGGAACCTCTGACTATGTAACCTGCTGTGGTTTGAAAAAAGCAATTTGTACTGCATGAATTGAATGTTACTAGCACTTGAAGTTCTCTATTTTGCTTGTATAATGTCTGTGTTTTCCCTTTCCAGTCTTGTAGCAGCAAGGAACAACAGAATTCCAAAGATTGTAAAGAGCAGGAATCCTAATACCTGCATGCCTGTCCACCTTCAACAGGGTATAACGTGAGTGACCTTTTCTATTCTTATGATTTACAGGCAAAACTCTAACCATAACTGTTAAGTACATGTATGATATGCTGCCCAGGGTGCATGGAATAGTACAGCAGTGGGTAAGGTTCTGAAAATAGAAATGTGACATTAAAACAAATTAAAAAAAACAATTTGTGCAATGACCTATGACTTGTACAATCATGCTGTCATGTCTGGTACAATGATATATCGATATGGTCATTGTTTTAGCTCCAGTTGTTTAAACCAAGCAGGTACTCAAGTTTTGACTTCAGTTGTCTTTGCCTATATATATTGATTAAGCAGTTTCAAGTTTCAAGTTTATTTATTTATTTATTTCACCAGGGCATACCTCAGTTTGCTAGTCCTCATGTCTTTAGCTGTATTTGAGCTACCAGGTAGTTGCCAGAAAGTCACACTAGCTGTCAGAGCATATCATACTTTATCTAAGTTGCCAAATAGTTCATCATGGATAGTCATGGATTTAACATACCAGTAAAATTACTTTTTCCTTACACAGGGCTATTGGTACAAAGTGGTATGTATGTTTAGTGGAGGGTAACAACAGAAAGGAGCACAACTTTGCTGCCAATGATGCTATCTACAGTAAATTCTCCCACTCGCTGCGCTGGTATGACCTGAGCTTCCCACCAATCAGAAGCATCCGATACATCAGGTTATACGGCGTCACTCCTGTCTTCTACGGCAGAGATGGTCTTGGTTCCAAAAATTGGTAGGTGTAGTCTGTCAATTGTCATAGTTTGATCACATGTTGACTGTTATTGTTCACCTATGAAATTAATATGACCCCATGTAAGTAGGCAGTCCTTTTGGTAGTTCAAAATTTGATTATACTGTATCGATCTGCACAGTTTATTGTTTATTTGTTTATTTGAGTTTACCACGGATATGAGTATACAAGTGGAAGGGAGGACAAAACAGGTGCATTGACACCTTTACAAGTTGTCCTCCCAACACTACATGTACAATGTAAATACAGATTACAATAATGAATACAAAACAGATCACAATATTGAACATCATTAACATAAAATTTATACATTAAACATCAAATATCATACATTAAACATCAAATATTGTACAATACAATGTCAAGGAATATAATACAGTTACTGTATTCATGGACTGTTGATGTGTTAAGATGCTCGCCAACATTACACCACAAGTGTTCCCAGTCCCAATATGAGTGTAATTGTCTGGCAGCCCACGGACCCGCTCCCTGATGCAGACTATCGAGCTGAGTTGGAGCCAGCTGCAGGACAGGACACCAGATGTACAGGACGATCTCGTCAATGTGTACTTCATGGAGGAGGGCTTCATTGTTGCAGTATGGAAGGTATAAAAACATTACTTTATGTCCACCTTGTGGTGAGAGCATACATTGGAAGGTAGCCATTTTCTTGTTAGAGAAGGAAACTTTGATAATAAAACATAACATTGTGCAGATACCTTCTTGTGTCAAACTTTTTTAGCACAGCTCTGTATCAGGCAAGGTCTTCTGATGCCCTGTGAAGCTTGGAATTTGATTTTGAGAGTTAAACAGACAATTTATATCTTAGAGAAAAAGGGAAGAATTTTTCCATAACGTAGCATGTGCTTGATACATAGATAACAGTAAGGTTTGTGTGTTCAGGATGGAGGTGAACTTGCCTTCATCAACTGCATCGTGCACAACCACCACCTGCTGCAGAGGAGTGTCCTGGGCAGCAGCACCACCTGCTACCCACACATGGTCCACGGGCACCAGCGAGACGAACTCTCCAAGCACCCTGGTACAGCACATATTACTGCCAAATACTGTCAGAGGAATATACTATGATACACATTACACTACAGTGTTAGAAATACCCATCTGCAGTCTGCATTTTGAGACATTTTCAATATTGCAGAAGAAAAATTAAGCAACCTGCAAGTTTGTAGACTGAAAAAATCAGGCTAGGGGTTCAATGATGTTTAAAAGAGCTTTTGTGTTTACTATTGGCTCTATTATACAGGGAAGCTTTCCACTTACATGTAAAATTTCTAGGAAGCAGTTTTCATCTTTGATAAAAAGAAGTGAATAGTAATTAGAATTTGTTCTTACTACAGGTATCACCCCCCCCCCCAACACACACACACACATTCTGTGTCCAGAACAAATACTAGTAATGTGTGTATTCTTACTGTATGTTTAAGTATACTTTCCAAATAAGTGATTCCTACAAAGTTGTTCTGGTGAAATTCACCTCTGTTATTTCCAGGGCTTTCAAGGTACGACTGTCTGGTTTCTCTCCGGAACCACCGGAAAGTTTTTCTGGAGGAGTATGAAGTGTCTGCGTATACAACTAGGGACAAAGTAGGTAAGAAAACCAGCTCAAAAACAACTACATGTAAATCTTACTGTGATGAGATGATAGGTTTAAATATTAATGTTTATCAGTGATATTGGCTTGTCTTGTTTAGTACTTGTTCATCCAATAATATCTTGTGTTTCCCAGCAAATGGCTTTGCCAGCTTCGAGGTCCTAAAAGATTGGAATGCTGCAGATAAAGAGTTCTACCTTCGTTGGAAGACTGAACTGTTCAAGGGTGAATTGAAGGTACAGTGACACTGTTTTTACACACAATTTGTGTTCAATTTAAGAGGTAAATGTTGGATAATTGAAAAGTGAAGTATTTCTTACAGCCAAAAGGAAAAATCTGGGCAAGAGTGATGTCTTTAATTGCTTGCTTATAAAATGTCGATAATGGTAGAAGAAACTTTAATACAGAGTATAACTACTGTCTGATACCTGTGTTTGGTTGTTGATTCTTGTTCTAGGATGCCTTTATTGTAGATACGGTTATGATGGACGACAACAGGCAGGTGTTCTGGACACTATGGTACTTCACATGTTACTGATTTATCTTTTCAAGACTTTATGAAGTCTTGGCCTTGAATGAAATTGTACCTTTGCTTGTTTCTACTGATTTACAGTTCATTTTGCCATGGTTTCTTCGATAATTGATTAACATATGATGAAAATTTTTGTTGTTGTTGTGCAGTGCACCAACCAAACTGGTGAAAATGGAGCTGGCTGAAGGTAAGAATTGACTGCATATCCTTCCAATGCTGGGAGTCTGATTACATTCAGGCCACTGATTATATTTCACTTTCCCTTCATCTAATTCCTGCCCTTCTCCTGCAATTTTGATCAAAAGACCACTGATTACCTTCACCATTTCATCTGCTGTATTTCTATCCCCTTTTGGAGACATGCAAATATTCTGTGTCTGCTGTCTTTCCTGTGTCTTGACCCTTCTATGACCTCCCTGTATGTCTGTGACTTGTGTTGTTTTTCCATCCCTGGAAAACATCTATTTCTTTTATCCTTCTGAGACTGTGTTCTGCTGGGGATAGCATTTGTTTTACTTTGTTTGTTATATTATCTTAGATTTTATTTGCTATGTTTGTTTGATTCTTTGCTGTATGTTTGTATAAGTTGAGAAAAAAATGCTGCAGTTACAAGTACATGTATATCTTCACATCTCCCCATGTACAAATGACTGTGTTTTATATCTCAGTTAGGGCACTGGTAAAGAGTGGTCAGATTTGGGGTGGAACGAACCTTCCTTTCCTATTCAGAAGACCAAAAGATCCCAGTATGTGAACGGTTCTTTGACTTCAATTAGCTGTGATGTGACTGCTTGCTGGGGACCTGCTTTCTTCCATCTTCCTTTTTTCTCTTAGTTAAAGGCAGTTAAGATGAGCTATCGCTTATCTGTCTCTTTTGAAATCATTCAAAATAAACTGCTGCATGCATATAGATCAGCAACATCATTCAGTCAATATTTTTCTGTCTTACAAGATGGATATGTTATATGGCATAGGAATGTTCTTATTCTTAAAAAGAGATGCTTTTATGCTTTATTTTGTCAGAAATTATTTGTGAATGTGAATACATTAATTTATTTATTTTATTTTATTTTAGCATTACGGTTGAAGAAAGTAATACAATGTTTGTAGTCATTGTAAAAATGCATTCACATGAATGCTACAATGTTTCAAAAGAATGTTTTCAGTAGCTGAAATAGATATGTTGCCTGTTCTAAATTGCAAATTTCTTTAACATTTGGCATGGATATGCAGACTTCATGGAAAAATTCAGATGAAATAATAACAGCCTTGGCCCTAAGTACAGCATCTGACATGAACAGCCAAAAGTGACCCATGCTCTTAGCCATAGACAGCATGTTCATCTGGCTGTCATTTGAAATTCGACACCTCAATTTTGTGTTGGTTTTGTGCGATATAGGATCATTTGATGCTGGGGAGAACTGTTGGAGTTTTGAAGCCGCCAACAGCCTTGGCAAGGTCACTGGCAAGGTCATCTGGGTAAGTGAAATCCTCTTAGCAAAGGAGAGTGCACTAAGTGCTAACCTTGTGATGCTCAATTCACGTCCATGCAAAATTAATGAAGCACTTTGTGTACATCTTTTAAATCTTTAGATCACCTGTAAATCACGTAACGTTGAAAATGAACCAGGTGTAGTTTGCCATCTTTACCAAATTGATTGACAGTCATTAACCAAACTCATTAACCAATGATAAGTTAACATGTTTGTTCTTGTGTTAGGATGAGGAGAGGGAGAGGTACCAGGTGTTCCAGGTGTACTTCCACATTGCCACCAAACTCATCAACATGGTCTTTGGAACAAACTATGACTAAGGAACAACAAACCAGGCACTACATACATACATACATGGTGGGGGAGTGGGTCAACATAGAGTGAGCACCAAAGTTATAGCTGTTTGGCACAGTATGATATATTACTTGATATTGAAGACTTCAAGCTGGGTAAGGTATGATCACAACTACATCTAAGGGCTTATCAATAACTGACATTATGTACTTAATCAGATATAATCATTGCAATATGCCAGGAAAAAAAATGAAATTGATGTGGTTCTGACATGAAATATTATATCATACAAAAATGTATGCTGCAGGGTAAAATGTTATCTTTCAGATCTTTGTTTCCTGAAACAGCTTTTTCCAACTGTGCAATACATGTACTTCTATCGCTTCTTACATTCCAGTTGTAGTTTAGTTTTTGACATATCAAGGAAGCACAGTGTGCTGATATCAAAACAAATTATGGTGTTGGCAACTTTGCAAATTAGTACTTTTCTTGCAAATATATCTGATACTGGCGCTGGCCTCTAAGGACACTCAAGATTTTGATCAAAGGAGGGGTTTGCCTTAATTACAGATTATACATTCCTCAAGAATACATTAATTGCACTTTATTAACCAAGAAAAGGATCAATTTTAAAGGACTATAGAAACATGAAACTTTTTTTTTCATTGAGGAATCTATGAATTTGGTTGGTGCTGTTTGCACTATCACTGTTGCCGTGTATCAAGGAGCTTTTGAAAGCTCCTTGCGTGTATATAGACAGGACAAGTTGGTATGAGCAAAGACATTCCATATAATGTCCTTGGCATACATGTGTGTGTGTGTGATGATATACACTATATATGTATATAGAAAAGTATTTAGCAATATAGATATATATTTCCTGTGCCTTATCCAGCGTACCATTAAATGTACATGGCATGGCTTTGATAGGGTTAGAGGGATTGTGTGCGTGTTCATTTTTTTTCATTTTTTGCGTGCGTGTTCATTTTTTCATATTATATTTTTGGTCACAATGAGCTGAAGAACAGTTTCCTCATAACTGAAACTCTATCTATGATATATGTGAAGATGGACAAATAGTGACAGAAAAAGTACTGTACATACAGAGTCTTACATACAGACATTGTAGTTCTAACAGTCACTCCTGTGTGACTCTACTTCTGTGAAAGGATTTTTGTCACACTTTTCTAACACAATAACCATTGCCTTGATTGTGCTAGAATGTTTTCAGTGGTATTGTTAGGTAGCAATTCATCCAGAGATGTAATGGGGGGGGGGTGAAAATGGTGAAAGGTGGAAACTTTTAGTCACAGCCGTATTGATAAGTTTCACAAAAGTGGTGACAAAATTGAAGTTGCAGAGCAAGAGAACAAAGATGGATACAGCCCAGGTTTATACATACATCCGGGATACACAAACACACCTACGTGTACATGTATATGGCATTCACTTAGAACATCTTTGCAGTCACAGCAAATCTACCTTTTAGACTTCAGAAAAATATTACTAGTATGGAGCTTATTATGTTGGGGAGTTGTTACAGCTTATAGGACGGTGGAAAACTGGGCAAGGAACTTAACAAAGTCGTTCACATGTTGTGACCTAATCCTTCTAAACAGGGCTAACATAAACTGTTACAATAATATCACAATGTGCCTCCTGTAGGTATCTTCAAATATCCAGGTGTAAGGTATTTAAAGGTGCATGTTTATGTTTTAAGAATAGTCTTATGATCTGAAGTGCATGAGGTTCAATAAACACTCTAACAGCATTTCATGTGATGATGTCTTTTATCACTGAATTTGTAGTTTATTTCCTGTTAAATGTAGCCAGATATTCCTGTAATAGTATAAGAAAACTACATGTATATCAGCTGTTTCTGGTCTTCATACAAATGCATATTGGAGATTCATTTTTTTGGAGATTGATTCATCCATATGAAGGATACCATGTAAGCACACACCTTTACTTTAACTAACTCCCTGAAAAAAGGTTGCTGATACCCTGTTCTAATGCCTGTTAGCTGCATGTGGTACCAACACGAGTGCTATTTGGTTGACTAAACTTAAATACATGTACGGTAGTTGATACGCAAGCAAGAACTGTTTCTTTACAATTACATGTACTAGCAGTTAACTTTTATACCTACACAAATTCATTCTATGCTGTACTTCAATTGATGACAATCAATGGTCAGATGACACTTTTCTGGAGTGCTGTTTATATAGAGAGCTATCTTTAGGCTATATTAAGTAAAATAAGGTAAGAGTGATCAAAGTACAAATGTATTCTGTAAGAACAGTCCTCTTTATAGTACATGACTACCATATTAGCATTTTTATTTCTCTTTAAAAGATGAACTAACATCGGATAATGAATTCTACTTCTGCATGGCCAAATCACACATGATGCTACATACATGTAACACTTTTTGGAAACTTTATACATGTATCTAACTAGGCAATTGTTTCAAAATCGTTGCTTCCCTACTCTCCTCTCCATCTTCTTCATTTTCTTTTCATCGACCTCTGGAGCAGGTGCAAAGATCCAGGGTGCCAGGATGTTCACCCACAGCAGGTAGAAGGCATAACCAGGCACCTGGGAACAGAGGGAACAACTCTTACTTAGGTAAAAATGCTTACTTAGGTAACAATGGTCCTTTCAAAAGTGAGCAACCAACATCTCCCTCAAGTTTCATGCTGAGAAGAATGTGTCTAAGTATTCAACAGACTTACAAAGACAAGTGTTTTGAAAAGTCAATCAGACAACACAGATTATGGCAAACATGAAAGATGCTTGAAATAACATCAGAAAATGAAAAAGTGATGTTACAGTTTGTTGTTATCCTGACTTACCAGCAGCCAGAGTAGCCAGAAGTAGTTTGAGAATATACTGATGACCTGGACTATGGCAGTCAGTAAAACTATATCCTTCAGGTGCCTGTGATATGAGAACAGAAAAAAAACACATTTCAAGCAATCATACTGTACATGTACTGCACAGTTATTCTTAGCCCTTGCAAAGCAGGTATGTTATATTTTACTCGGAGTGTAATGCATTTCTAGTAGCAGCTTACAGAAGTTCTTCCAAGGGTTTCTAACATTGTGCGCTGACTTACTCTGCCATGCCTGACTCCATGTTGAGATCAATCCCACCGTCCATCAGGGCGCCTGACTCTGAGTACGTCGGCCGTGCCATACTCCGCATGGACTGGAGCGAGGCTAGGTACACCAGGGTGGCGAAACCCAACAGGCACTGCAGAAATGGTACCACCAATAACTCATCATCTCGTACAAATGGCTTTTGGACAATTGATTATTCTCACATAACAAGATTCTTTGTATGTTTGAGATTTGACAAATCTATTTTTGCAACACAGAAGTGTTAATGGCTTACTGCAAGGAATAAATTTAGACTCTAACTTAAGTTTGAAAGACATCAGAAATGGTCCAAGACTCACCCCAGTCACCCATGAGAAAGAGTCCCAGTAGAGGAACAGTGTTGGAAGTAGATACAAAGCCTGAAAAATACAATACACATGTAAATGAACTGGACATATTAGAAGAACAGTATTCTTGTTTCATCAGGGCTGTGTAGCCTATGAAGTATTTACTGGTTAAATATCTATCTTCTGAAAGTATATTCACATTAATCATCTCCATATTTGTATGTTTTAATATGTGATTACAACATGCATAACATCACTTGTCATAACATTTTGGAACTGATGTCACATTAACAATATCTCATATAACTGTTACATCACAATTGTTTAAAGCTTGAACACGGAACCCGTACTCACATTTGCACCTGCTATGACATACAGGTAGAACTTAATTGTGGCCTTGTTCTCCTCCACAATCTGCTTCTGTCCTTTGGTTCCCTGCTTCCCTTTAGGCTGGAACAAAACAATGTCTTAAGTATGTTGTCTAATCATCTAATGTATACATAATTACATAACATCTGCCACAATCGGCAACTTCTCTATAGCTCTACCCCCCACCCCCTTCGTCCCATCTCTTGAATATGAAGATGATAACCTTAATTTTGTGAAGAAATGTGGATTACTACTAGCATTCTTCATTTTTCAAGTACAGGCGAAAATGTCCAGAGTGTTACCCCTCCCCTTTTCCCTCCGATCCCCCCTTCTTCCGCCATCATTAAGCCCCTAGGTCCGCTCGCTCGAAGAAAACCGAGACTTGGCAACCCTCCCCAGTATTGAGGAAGCCTGTCCTGCGTGGTTTACCTGTGGCAGGTGGGAAAGTAACAGGTGGAAACAACAGAAACGTGTCGTACTTACCGGCATGGCGATGATCACGGGTCAGGTAAGGGGTCAAGTCAGGTCAAGACGAAATGAAGGCATTAAAACAAAGCAATGATCCTTTTAGAAAGCCACCAGCAGCTGGATATACAATTCTGTCGGCAGACAAAGTTAACGTTATATTTATCTGGTTTGATCTATTGTTTTTATTTCAATTTACTCATAATATAGTCGTTTTAATACCGGTGTATGATATTTTCTCTTTGCGTACTGCTGCCCCCGCCTGAGAGCAGAAAGCCTGCAGTTTTATATACATCGCGAGATGTCGCTGTTGATTGATCACGAAAATCCCGTGGGTGAATTTTGTACCCTTTTTATATATGGCCTTTTATGTATGGAACCATCACCTGTGAAAAGCATGTCTCAAAAGAGAACAGAAACCACGTAACGCATTATGTTTATCCGATTTCAGTCAAGCCGTCAACTTTTATGTATCGACATATAACGTTAAGTACCCTGCTTAATTAGTATTCGTCGCACGAATAACTTCACGAGCGCAAGAACAACCATCTGTGTTTCAGGAGACACTCAGCTAGCATAGGATGTAGCGAAAAGTTAGTTTAAATGCCATCTTTAGATGATGGCTTAAACCACCGTTTAGTTTTGCAATGAAATAGAAACAAGATATTGCAATTGAAAACTAAAGTTCTGAGAACTGAATTCATGAAAAAAATGACGTTTACGTTTGAAAAGGACCACACTGTAGTCTATCTTTTTATAACGTATCAATGTAACGATCTCTATCATGGCGTTATTCTTTGCCTTTCATTTTGCTACATCGTGGACTCTTGAACAGGTGGCATGGAATACAGCACAGCAGGTACACCCATCACGTGACCTGCAATGTAAATCAGACCTGAGTGTCCCGTTATACAGAAACAACAGTACAATGGCAACTTGTTTGGAGCGGATATCTATGTCAACGGTCGTCTCAGCCTGTTTGCATCGTTTGTAATTCAGTCCTAGCGGGATCCAAATAACGGACAGAGTCAGCTGTAGCGCTGCACACGCCAACTCACGGTTTTCAGGTATGTTTCTGTGAATGAATGCCGAGTGCATTTCCCGAGGGAGAATAGAGCGTGCATGTAGAAATGTATAAGCCTGTGGCTCCCAACTAGGTCGTTGTGTTCAATTATAAAGGGAGCAAGAAGAAACGTAACGTCTGTGCCTGCTGTCACGGTACTTTCGCTGTTCATGATCGTCAGAAGATCGTTACGAATAACTGACATGGGCACATGATTCATTTCTTGACATCTAGATGGCTTACGAGCCACTGCACGCCATAACTCCCGTGTCCAAAGCTTTCAGCGACCAGACTATAAGATTTATGATTTCTTCCCCAGAGAAAACACAAACCTGTGCCATCATGGTACGTACTGCTCTTGTTTAATATACGCAAACTTGAGCATCTTATGACAGCCAGTCCTCTTTCAGTAGTACACTTCGAGACTGTCGCTGTATAGTTTGATGATAGTGTAAAACTAGAATAATGTGTAACAGCAAGGAAACCTCCTCTCCCTCTCGTGGGCCTCACGGTAAACTCCAATGTTTATGCAAATAGAAAAAGGGCAACGACGTCTCTGAAGCTCACGGTGCGCGGATATCTGAGTGGGCTGTTCCCAGTACGATTGATTTATTTTTCGGCGTCTCAACTTCTCAACGAGCCACCCACTACAGATCATGTTTCAGACATGTATGTAACTATACGTATACGTATGTATACTTTTATATCCTTAGTCATGAAATAAGGATATAACCAGAAGGTAATTAAGTGCAGTATATAACTCTAAGTGCGTCGTTATAGATTACTTATTGTGTGATTTAGCAAGGTGGTTGGCAGGTCGATAAGCGGTGTTCAGTCCAAGTGTGCGGATATTGATTTGTGGAAACCATTTGACTGAGGATAAGCCTTACAAATCACCAGGCAAATGTGCCGTTAGGTTTGTGCTGTGCTTTCTATTGTATGGTTTTTGTACTGAAAATCTCACTGGTCCCTTCCCAGCCTTTGAAATGGAATAGCCCTATACATTCTTCAGGGTTGAATTAGCAGTAACACCATTGTATAGTATCGGAGCGTGGAGACCCATTGAGGGATGCACACTCAATATTGTAGTATCTTGTACTTACTCCAGGCATTTGAGAAATCAGAGTCACTGGTCACCGTTACTGTTGACGTCGGTACAACATTAATTTTATGATAGTAAACACGAAAATGTCTGGTCAAGCCAATTGAGCTCAGGGTGGCCCCTACACTAAACAGGACGTTTGAAACTTTCGAACACTAAGAGGCCTCTTAACCACTGAGCGGTAACGGAACACAAGAGCATGAAGTCTAGAATAACATTTTCTCACTTACCATTTAATGACAAAGTATCACGTATTAAAGTTCTCTAAAACTGTTGATAACGCTTCTATTGCTTTTGTTTATCTTACAGGTGCCAGAGGGCCAAAAGACTTCATAACTCTGAGAAGTCAGGTGAAATGGTGACGCTCCATCGTTTCGTCCCTCTTCAGGACGACTGCGACACTCACGTGTTCACGTTCCTCGTCAGCTCGCCTCACGACATCAAGGACGAGAACTCGGGAGAGTTCACGTACGCTTGCCATAAATGGTGCCTTCGTTTGGAAAGAAAGGACTATGACAGAACTTTGGGCGCCTTTCTGTGCCTGCAGCGCGTTAGGAAGAGGGTTGTTTGTAAAGTAGATTACGCACTGACCGTACTGCATACTAAGGACGCTGCCAGGAACGTTTCTTTCCAAAGGAAGCAATGTGAATTCATCCACGGCCACTCCTCACAAGGACAGAGAAGTCTCCTTCTAGAAGAAGAACTAAGACAGGGTTACGTAGATTCTGACGGGAATTTGACAGTAGAACTGAGAATAGGAAACTGCAAAACAACCTTTGGTGCCATTCTGGACATTTTACCCAGAGGGCGCGCAGGCTTTCCCAGGTATGACTCTTCTTATTTCGAATATGGAGGGTTTGACTGGAATATCTCTGTTCATCCAAATGGAGAACACATGGAAAACACTGACCAGAGCTACGTGCGGCTGAACAGACTGACTCATTTTGATCATTTTTGCAGACTCAAATATCGTTTGACAGCCAGGTTCGCAGACGAGAAAATTGACACTGGCGCGAAAGAGGAACTGTTTGATTTTGGCGGGAAAGGAAGGGACCACCAGATTGACCAATCCCTCGGCAAGCTGACCAGAAGAGTTCGCTTGTTCCTGCATGTAGACTTGTTTTCAGCCGCGCATGTTAGCCAAGTCAAGGTTTACGCCACGGACTCCATGAAAAACCGAGCCTTTCTCCGTGATACTGAAAAACAGTGTTGGTGCATTGAGAGTGACGTCAACAACACGAAACACGTCAAACTTCGGCTCAAATACATGGACGTTTTTCAGATGCCGCCCGACTATTCCCGCTATGTTGCGTGGACTGCACGAATCGTTGGGCCCGCCGGAGCCTATCCGTGCAAAGGTGGTCCATTCTCAGCGCTCTATGTCAAGTGCGAAAAGGACGCTGGGCACGAGATGATCACGACGTTACCAACGGTGGAGGTAAGGCACGCATTTAAAATTAAGAGTAAAATATACATCTTGAATGTTCTAAACTAGACATGAAACATGGTAAAACTCAATGTAGTCATGTAACTAGCAATATATTTTCTTAAAATACAAAATTGCTTTCTCCAGTGTTTGTTACTGAAAAAGAGCAGGGGCACCCCCTCCGTTAGGATGTGCAAAATCACTAGTGAATCTCGGAAACCAAGATCCATAAACCTTGACCATCTCCCACTCTTTTCTTCCGCCCCTCAGGTGACGAGGAAGTCCAGTGGGTTACTGGACGTGTACGGGCGGCTGACGGTGCAGGTAGACCTTCTGACGTCACACATGACCTACCGGCCAACCTACGGTACAACCGACACAGTCGTGTGGAGACAGTGTCAACAACTCAGGTACAACCACACTCCACAACAACCGTCGTTACACAGCTGTAACGCTGTCGAATCTTCTAACGATGTTACATGAAAACCTGTAATGATCTTGGTTATAAAATTCCCTGATGGAGAGTCTATTGGCGTCACTACATAAGACTTGCACACAGTATATATGGAGTCGCTTGTGTGTTTTAACTCCACGGAGATTCACCATATATTCTCTCTGTTTTAGGGAACAAGTCCAGTTCCAGGACCAGTTGTCCAGTGGGTCAGCTACAACCCGCCTGTCCGGAGACGGGTCCACTGGTCACCGACAGCCCAACTACTGGGCCATGTGAACCAGTCAACCCAAGACTCACCTGTGACTACGTACCTGTAGAGGAGATATCCATGGATACGGGATTCTGATTGTTACACTGAACATTGCCTGGGTACCAAACCGTAGTTGTCCTACCCCGGCCTTTACTATAAAGCACAGGCAAGTTCTGGGCGAGCTATATCCACGAGCTATATCCAGCTGGTTTCCCTTATCCCTCTCCTTCAACACCTTTTACCTTTCCTTATCCGCTGACTTCCTGTATTACGCCGAGTCTATCTACTAGTGTTCGGCGCCGACCCAAAGATCCCTTGCGTATGTGAGCAAAGAATCCTAAACCGTCTGTAAAAAGCTACCCTCGCCTGTTGCGTATGTGAGCAAAGAATCCTAAACCGTCTGTAAAAAGCTACCCTCGCCTGGTTTGGCGGCCCGAAACGTTACCAGCCTCGAAGAGATAGCGCTGAGCTCACGGCTATCCTAACAGCATGGCATCCAGGCTTCACTGACAATTGATAAGACGTCGTGCTTGTCCCTGACCGGCTCTAGGTTCTTTAGTGTACATACCCTTCGCTTGCTCCAAGCACCTTTCCGCGCATAACGTCAGATGCTGCGTCTGCGAGAATACGTCTTTTATGAACTGGTGCTATATACATTGTATAGCTAGTTTAAAGTAATGGGCCGTGAATCGTGGTTATCATTACTAATTTTGATGTTAGATGTACGTGTTTATTATCCCTGTAACAGTGAACAAGGTATGGAGTCATGAAACTGGAGCTAATGGCAATAAACTGAATGCTAAACAACACATCTCAGAGACAGTCTACTCACTGCATGTTTATTGTTCAAACAAAAATGTCACAGTAAACAATAAACCAACATTAGCAAGAAACATTATACATAATATTTTGTGTCTCATCAGCGATCGTTTGACCACGTGTATGCGGTGTCGATTGGTTATTGTCCTGAATGATATTGGAGGTTTGATCAAGATTAATTATGCGTTTCCGAATCAGATGTGACTCTAAAGACAGACTAACTTTGGTTAAGCATGCAGAGTCTGAAATAGTGACGAACAGTCTACCCCACTTAATACTGACCAAATACTAGTTTAAAAGTAGCGATGTACTTGATACAAAATGATAATCATTTTTAATTCCATTCATGTTCCATCGTAAAAGAATGCATATTTCTCACATCATGGTTTTGCAGTTCTTTTTTCATAATGGAAAAAGTTGAGGTGGCAGTTACTTTTAGCTGATTCATGGGAATGAGTTGAAAGATTTTTATTGACAATTTACGGCTAATGTTAACATATCTAGTAATGTTAAGTTTCTGTCAATGATATGCAATCATAGGTCAGTGTCACTGTTTTTCACCAACTATAGCGTGACCTGTAACATTTTGGTGGCATCACCTGATGCCTAGCTATAAACGGGTCACTTTTTACCTTCCGTATTATTTTCGTCACAGGCTGAGAACTTTCTCTAGGGCCGTCATCAGGCGGCAAGCTCATTGTCACATGCGTTTTTGAAGTGTGTGATGGGATGTTGGTTGAAGGTATCTGAACAGGAACTGGTTCGTGGGTGACCACGTGTCGGGTTGGATGCGGCGGCGGGGCGGGTGGCAGTCTAACCCGTCTCGGTGTGTGCACCGTCCGGGACATAGTTCGGGGTTGCGAGGGCGGTCCAGGCGATGCTGCGATTGTCATTGGCCGAATATTAACTGTATTTACTGCAGGTCTCACGTACTGGACTCTTTCTCGAGTCTTCGCAGATCGAGACATGTTTAAAGTCTCCATCATCAGAACTCGGGTTATGTCTTTAGCGCCATCTGTCATGGTGTTGACGAACTTCTGGTATCTTGGGTCGTCGCCGACATTCGCGTTAATGTTCGTGTTCGAGACCGGAGTCAGTCGGGCAAAGTCGTTCTTCTTCGTCAGGGTGTTCCGAACAGTAGTCGGGGGAGCTGCTGGCAAACCCTCCTCCAGGGCTAGCAAGCCTTGGGTCGAGTGTAACGAAGAAGACGGACTAGAAGATCGTGAGCTGCTGCCGTGCAACGATCGTGGCTGGAGTGCCTGAGCATAGATATGCAGCTTTCTTCTTACAAAAAATCTTCTGACTGAGTAAACACTCGCCCTCAACAGCCACAAATTGATGATGGCAAAGAAAATTATACTGAGGAAATAAAAAGCCAGCGGCATGTAGTCCATATCAAAAGGCGAGGATACTCGGAAAGCAAGAACGAAGAATACAATTGGCACGACTCCTCTCAAAACGAGTGTCATCACTGTTCCAATGATAATGTTTACACCGTATACAACGGAGTGCCTTTCCACGTCTAATGTCTGTAACAGTTTGGATGTCTCGTAGAATATCACAGTTCCCTCGAAGAGAACGCCGAGCAGGCCGAACAGACCGCTCTGTTGATACAGGGAGAAGACGACGTACACGATGACTGTCACCGCGTGGTGGAGAAAGTTGATGCGGAAGTTCGGCAGATCGTTACGGAGGTGGAAGTCCTGGAAACATTTGTAGACGTAGTGTCCGACGTTGGCCGCGAAGACGGAGGCGACGCCGGCGGAGAGGCCGCGGAACGGCCGCTGGAACACGTCGGTGGTCGCCAGCGCACAGACCGCCCACAGACACAGGACACAACTCGACAGCTGGTCTACCAAACTGTGAACACATCAGATATGTGTGTTAACTAATGAACTACTAGTAATGTTTAAATGTTATATGCTACACAACAGACCTGTGGCAAGTTAGTTGGTAATTAAGAGACGAGAAAAGGAAAGCCACAGGAAAGAACTACGTATACACTGGCGATAAGAGAGAAGACAAGGAAATTGGGATGTTGAAACAATCTCATACCTCCATGACATGTTTAGTGCTTTCGTAAAGCTTATGCATAGTGATGATCACATAAATGGCTTACATTTACAATCCTGCTCATTAGCAAAATTTTTATACAAATTATTCACATAGCCCCTACCTAGTAACATACAACACACTGGTGAAATCCTTACCATTTAACATGAACAACGTATGATATTGTTGGTTATATGCAAGAATGACCCCTGACATACCTTTGCCAACTCATGTTTGCCATCCAAGCTGACGAATTATACATTTTTTACTGCCAATATGCAAATTATAAGAGCACATTTGCATATATTATATCATTTGATGATATTCTCCGCCCAATGACAGGGTTATCTTAAGAAATAAGGCTATTCTAGCGTTTCCTCATAAATTATGCAAATGAGGTCCTGATTTGAATACATTATGTTTAGTGATGTTCGCCTTAATTGAACTTCCAAGTATGGCAAGTATTAGATTCACAGCAGTTACCACCGTAAAAGTGTACCAATTTGCCATTAATTATGCAAATTAGGTCTTCATTTACATAATCAATATCTACCAATGATCTTGTTGTTCTCAATTACATATGTCTAAAGTGTTTCATAGCCCTAATATGGAATACAGCAGATTTATAGAATTTCCTCATTAATTATGAAAATTAGATTCTGATTTGCATAATTGTATTTTAATCATGTCAAGCATCATTTCAGCTACCTACATACCAAAAATCATGACGATCCATCAAACAGTTGTTCAGTTATCCTCTCTCGAATATTTTTAAAGAAACCATCCTGCAGTTCCAGAACAAGCCGCTAGGGGGCCCAAACTCATGTGACTTCTTCCCAAGCACGAGAGCTACCTATCATTCAAATTTCATGACCCTAGCATGTCCAGATCGCGAGATATCAAAACCGGAAGTTGCGCTGCAGTACCAAGGGAAGCCACTAGGGGGACCAAAATCTAATCATTTCCAGTTTTCGTCACACCCTACCAACACACCAAGTATGAAACCAATCCATCCAGGCGTTCTTGAGTTATCTTGTTGACCAACAGACGGACGGACAGACGGACAGACGGACGGACAGATAAACGCAACTGAAAATATAACCTCCATGACACATTTCATGGAGGTAAAAATACGTACAGCAAAACAGAAAGGAGTAAGATAAAAAAAAGACCGATACAGAAAAGACAAAAATTACAAGGAAGTTTGACAGGAATATAAAGAAAGAAGGCTGCGGGGCTTGGAATACATGTATCAGAACTATTTTGGCAAGTCGGCTATTCATTGGTGCGAAACTTGGCTGGCTCAATCAAGTAAAGTAAAATAAACAGTCGCCTGACTCGATGGCAATGAGACGTAAAATTTCCTAGTACGAGACGCGTTCCGCATCATTCTACACAGGATAGGCGCTCGTGCGTACCCGAGCAATCCGGGTTTGAAAAGAACTCTACTTAAGGAGCGTCCTTGCTCTACTTTCAAAGAAAAGGAAGAAATGCCAAGCCCTCTCCCATGTTCCCAACCCCACATTTTCATTTTTCTTGCCCTAGGCCTCATTCATGCATGGCTTTGCACAGTTCATGTGAACTTGACGCCCGTAAACGACAGACGGACTTCCCTCTCTAGTTGCCATGGTCGCTGCCACATGTACCCCACGCACGGGGAAGTAAAACTAGACCTCCCTCTCTAAACATCGCTTGAGGACCTAATATAGCTACATGTATACAAAAAGAGGAAACATTTCCTCGGTCGATCCCATACCAGACTTCCTCGCTCACCTGGCGTTGTTCCAGGTGCCTGTGTGTGTGTGAGAGAATCGGAACTTGGTAAGGGTTCGAATTCACGTGAAGGTCTGCTAAACTTCGTAACTTCTTCTTTCTTTCTCAGTCTTTCTTTCTCGGTTTTTCCTTTCTTCATTTTTCCTTTCTTTCTTACTGTCTTCTATCTTTCTTCTTTCCTAATTTCGCCGGGCTTTAACACCTAAGTGTCATCTGTCATCGTACCACACATTACTAATATCATACTAAAGCTTCTCATTACAAATTGCACACTTCTTGCAAAATTCCTTCACACAGTTCCCAAGTAGCACAGTTGCTAAGCAGTCCAACTATTCTCAAACACACAGCCGAGATGTCAAAGTTCGGCGGGCTTCAAACCGGCGCACATGCACAGACCTTTGCCTGGGGCTCTGTTCTTATCTTGTGTAACTTGTACCGGTAAACAAGACTGCCCTACGTGCAAGTTTGATTACAGTAAGCTACGCCTAACTGTGATGTAAGGCGCAAACCGAAATTCTGTTTACAATACACGTATGGTGGTCTTCATGAATCTGATGATAACAGACTTTTCAAGTGGAAGTCGATAAGCTCTGTCAGTTTTTACTGGACTGTATAACGTTATGTATAGTTCAGAAATGCACACCATTGACTACAGTTGGACCCTAAAGTGCATTGTGGCACGCCATGTCGTTTCCTGGTTACGTCAAACCCGGTTCCTAACTACTAGTATTTAAAGTAATTCTGAGTCACGAATTGAGGAACACCGGCGGGCTTTTCAGAAGTTACAGTTACAAGATGTTGCAATATCCGAAATATATAAAAGTATTACCTCACACGCATTATCTGGTCTTTTATTCAGGTGATATTCCGTAGTATTTGGTTGATTGTACCCGCACTGTGCCCCAGGTGAGGTATTACTTCCGCGTTTCACTTCTCGGTGACCATGGGCCTGTCCCTGGGTACTTTACTCCCCCACTAATACTTCTTTAGTTCTCACTATAAAATGAATTTTGCATGAGCATAATGGTGGATTTGACCAATCTCTATGCATTTTAAGGGGGCTCTCCACTTGCGACTATGCGGTATTGTTTTCTTAGTCCAGGAAAGGCTCACCATCGTTAAAATTTAACTGCATGATCTATAATTCTATAATAGAGAAACTACGACAGTGCGCAATGCTGTCATGTGGACAACATGTTGGAAATTTATGAAATATGTGATAAAATCTTCACGTGTGGAGAGTTTAACATTTCACAGTGTCCTCAAGTGCCATGAAACTTTATGCAGAAATAGTGAAATTTATATTTTACCCTAATATCATAAAATGTTTAGTTTAAATTGTTATTTCACGAAACTTACTATTTTCCGAGTGTCCACGGATGGTCCTCGTGCATGTCCAGAACCTGGCTCGGCCAAGACGAGGGGGACCGCCGAGAAACCCGCCTCAGAACCGCCGCTACACCAGGGGGAAGTAGGAAGAAGCAGGCCGCAGACACGTTCACCGTTAGCGAGGCCACCAGCAGCACGTAGCAGGTCGCTGTATCGGGCCAAGCCATCGCGCTCCGCCGGTTCGACCCACTGTGTGCTCCCGAGAAAATGTCCCTCTGACTCCCCTCCGAGGACGACGTACATGCATATCTTTCCGAAACACTGGAAAAGCACGTGAAGAGCTCTCACAAAAAACGGGAACTTAACGGGAACTGTTCTCTTGCGTGTGCAAAGGGTTTTTCCATGTAGTTAATGTGTCACCAACACACAAGGAAACTGTGCATGTATAAAGTTGGCCGAAAGCCAGAACGGGGAAGTCCCTATATGCAAATGAGCGCGGTAAAACATGAATGAATGTTAATGATAGGGTCCCAGTGGTGAACTTGAAGCTTTACTTTAAGCACAACCTTAAGGCACTTTCGAAAGACAAGAGGGCTATTCTTTGACACGAATTTTCGTATGTTGAGAATAACCCCGCTGGCCAGGCTGGCGCGGGGACGGCGGCAGGTATGAATATCAGAACTGTTTACGTTAGTTTAAAACAACATCAAAACCACAATGAGGAAGTGTTCCGCAGTCTGACTGCCGTTGGTTTGAAGTCGCCGGGAACACGTAACACACGTCTGGACAGAAACCGAAGCACGTTGTTCGAACTTTATGTTCTCCTTTTTACTTTCCCCTTTTGCGGATTCACTTCTGATATTTCCCTTTGGTGAAACTCCGTGCGAGGATCATAGCAACGCGCGTTTAAATGTACTTTTAAAAGACTTTAAAAAGTCTTTTACAAGTTCAGAAGGCTTGTGATGTGAAATGTGAGCAGTTTAAAGATTAGTTGAAGGTCTTGGAAGGTCTTCGATTTGCACAGCCTATTTTATTTGTGTACAGGTCGACACTTTCTTCAGGGCTTCTTTCAGGCACAGCTGGCACCTGTTTCTCATGTTTTACCGAAGGAAAACATACTGTTTTTGCTCTGTTTCCTCTTCTTCTTCTCCAAACCAATAAAGATCACCATGGTAACTAGTGTTGGGTTATAATTTTATAGCAGGAGGGATTTAGACTCCTGTCTGGCCATATGTATGAATGTGTTTGAGTAAGAATTAACAGAGGACCCCATACGCGAAGGCAAACATTATGCATTTGCCTTGCAAATGTTACCTTTCTAGTTAGGAGCTAAATAACTTCCGTTTCAAATGCGCATTATCACAGCCAGTGAACAGTGTGAGGAACAAACCCTTTCACACACGATAAAGTATAATTGACCAGATATACGTCCCCTGCTAGCCCTACAATACAGTTGTAGACGTAACAATGCTCTACCCATGTCATGGATGACCGTCAGCTGACGTCAGCATTGACTTTGTGCCTGGGGCTCAAACCAGTTACACAACACCTGTGGATGAAACATTAACCCCTTGGGAAACAGTGGTGTAGTGTTCTCAGTATCACACCTTCTTTCAACAAGCTATCTGTAAAAGGTTAATTGGCATACATTGTAATGAAGAGTAATGAACATTACCGTACAGTAGGAACCTTCTAACTGAGTGATTAGAATACTAGAAATGAGGTGCTTTGGGAGTATTAGTTTGCAGATACCGACTGTTCTAGGGAGGACAGTTGGCATCTGCAAACCTTTCACATTGGCATAGTCTAAAGAATACCCAACCAAACTCCTAATGCAGGGAATTTAGGGCATAAACGTGATCCAGTTGCTATATACACACACAAAAAAAAAAGATTTAAAGCTGGCAAAAAAAACCCTAATCGTTCCTGTAACTGCCAACTTCTTTCCAGAACTGTTTTGAGACTTGGTCATGGCAAGGAGCCTTAAGATCTATTTAAAGCTCCTTGGTCATGGCCAACTGTCAGCAGAAGCTCTCCCACTGTTTTGTGTAAACAGAAAAGAGGCACTGTCTCTTGTGTTGGTATAAACGAGGAGGCTAAGTTTCCATGAGTACCACAAATGTTTGGTTTCTTACGTAAGCCTTGACATTTGGATGAGAGTTCAGGAGGTATAAGGTTGCATACATCAAGAAATAAGAACAAGCATTGTCTGTTAACAACCAAGAGGCGTGACGCAGGCAAATATGATGATATCAATATATTTGATTCTGCTATAGATGGATCATATTTTCCTGACATTCAACACAAACTGCACATAATGAGTGACAGGACATTTTTGTTACACGAGGAAACATTACAATGACAGCCGAGGTGAATTACTAGTAGATCTAACATCCAAATTAATCACATTCTCATAAAACAAATACTAGTACAGTTGCATAGAGAGATGACGGGTGACAGTTATTTGTGGAGCATGTTTGTACTTATAACTGGCATGACAATGGGAACTACCTGGTATTTGTTTACCCTTCACAGTGCAAGGCTTGTAGTTTCAGAGGCCAGCACAGGTAAAAGATGTACTGAACTTATTTACTTCCTCAAAGGTATCAAGTTTCAGGACAAACCACTGAGTTTACCGGTATATATAAATTATAATAAACAAATGGACATAGCTCAAGATTACTATCTGTACTTATAAAATCCTGCTGGTTGAACCCAAAATGTTTTCAGTAGAAAATGATACTTTGTTACCAAGAGAATACATTGTTTTAAAACTCACTGAGAAGGAACTGAATGAATACAACATTACCTACACTTTTATAGGTTGAAAATGGCAACAAGAAATATCAACATCGACCTTGATAGAACATCACATCCATATACATATGATATACTTCTTCATTTTTTGTGAAAAGAATCAAATTATAGAAAAGACAGTCCACAAGCATGTTTACATTGTTCATTCCCCTTAACCATTGACCATGTTACCACTAACTCTAGTACAGTTCTTCTGCTCTCAAGCATGTATACGTTTTTCCCACAAAGTCAGTCACACAACATAACTTAACACCACTTCAGTGCCAACTAACTTGGAATTAACGCTACCTGATGCTTCCTTCCAAGAAGCAACTGTTGCTCAATACCTCACAGTATGTGAACCATTTCAGCTGGGTTCCTAGGTGAGATTCTAGAGACATACTTAGTGTTTGTCATTTAGGCCATGTTGATTTGATTCCATGGATGACATCCGCGTGAGCATGAATTTTCGTCCGTTTAAAAAAAAAAACAAAGTAACAAGTTTTCGACCGTATGGTAAATCATACAAAATGGGCAAATATATGTTGTATGTTGCAAAAAAAGTATTGGAAAATGATACTAATGTCATGGAATGCCGAAATCAATTCAGGAAAAGAAGAAAATGTGAAGAAACGAAAATTAAGAGTCTATTATTATTCGCTATACCATACATTTCATAACGAAGGAAACTTTTTTTAGCCAAACTTTTTTTATTCGCATGCTCGTGTAAGTTTTGGGGTTCCCAGAGGATGTCATCCATATAATCAAATCAACATGGCCTTATTGTTCTGTTCACTATTCACAAATGAGGGACGTATTTTGTCTTCATTTACACTGTAGCAAGTGATATTTCGTAGCAAAAACTTCTCGGTCAGTTCAGTCTGAGGTCAGCTGTCTGCCTTCTCCTGTGTGGGCTGTGTATTGATGCGGATGCCGTGCATTTGTTTCACTTCCTCTGCCAGTGCCTGCAACATAGACGGGGACAAAATGACACAATTTCTTAGTAGGCTCGGAGAAAACTCTGACAATTGGTATAGCTGACAGTGAAATATTGCTATCAGAGTTGTCGACTTTTGCAAGACCATCTGTTTCCTTCTTCAAGCTGACCGGATAGAAAAGCTGAGGAATTGGGTGGATGGGAGGAAACCAGAAAGTGTGGTGACGCAAATGGTATTTAGAACTGCAACATAAGCAGTGAAAGCCTAAAAAAAGACACAAGTCAACAACTTCTTTGCCAAGTTCCTTGATAGCAAGAATTCATACTCAAATATGGAAGAAAAGAAAATTAGACAAATTTTCCCATTGTCTCCTATATAGGGATGGAGTAGTCAAACTACTACATGTTCAGTTTCTTTGAAACAGTCCCTATATAGCTAGTATTACAAGATACCTGTCCCTATGTCATTGTGTCAAGTACTGATTACATCTGACTAATCACTCATTAAGTGGTAGAGGTCATTGACCTTCTATCATGTAAACTGTTTCCTTTTCCGAGAAATTTGCCTTGAACCAGTCATATTCCTAAGTATTTCCCACAGCCACGTTCAGAAACTTTGTTTCCTGTTGGCAACTTACTTATTTCCTGTTGTGTCAGCACTTTTGCTGTTTTGAAATCATACCCTCTATAACTTACAAATGTGAAATCACCATGGATAAACAACATATAGGATTTCAACACAACAAAAATTTAGTAGTAAAAAACTATCGAACAAAGTAGCTACACAGATCTACACAGCAACAATCTAATCTGAATCAGAGCATGTTGACACATTGCTGGAAGTCAGGTACCAGGTACAAAGTGGCATCTACAAACACAGCACTTTTTGAACTACTTCCAGGAAAAAACACACATCGTTACAGGCTTCCTGGAAAAACCGTTAGTAAGTCAAAACATCAACAACAGCTTTGTAGAGGCTTTCCTGTAATTTTGTAAAACTGGTTCTTTTGTGAAGCCAAAGTAAAGTTCAAAGTTCTGGTCGAGTAGAAATGTGACAAGCCAAAGTTGAGCCCATACACCTGTCACCTGTATAGACTTAACTTCGGCTAGTTAGGCCTGTGTCCTTGGGCCTAGGAAAAAAAAATGCTGACCGACCCTACTTGTCACCCTAGAAAACCTGCTGACCCTAGACTTTTTTTTGGGGGGGGGGGTCGACCCCTGCAAGGAGGAATTTTTGGAGCTGATAAACCTTTTCTAGCTCCATGACCTGACACCTGAGTGATAAAACATTGTGCAATTGGTTTTCTTGACATTGAACATTAAAGTGTCCTCAATCACTGATCATTCATCAAAGAACACAACAAAGACCCCTGTCTATTTCAAGTACAACAGGAAGTTTGGTTTGCGTCAGTGACTTAGCTTTAAGTACATGATGTAGGCTCCTGACAATCACCTGGCAGATATACAATCTGGCACACCTGCAGCGTTATTGGGGGTCAGTTAATCATCAACTTTTCTATAACTGAGAAACTTTTGTTTTGGCGAGGGAAGCTTTTTTTTTACAACTTCCTTTGTGAGATTACAATGTGAGATTAGCAAAACAACAGACCATTTCTGATGCCTTGCTCTTGTAGTCTTTACTCTTTACTATTCATACAAATCCAAGAAGGGTCTCCAGACATGTAATACAACACCCGATGATAGTGAAACAGAGCTGGAATACAATGTATACCTCATTGACCATTCTATGCTGCATAACTGTTCTCTTTCCCTTAAACTCGTCTGCAACAATGTGGACTTCATACATGGCACCGCATCCTCCTGAAATCAACAACAGTATAACGTTACATGTACACATGTATTTACTATCAAGACAATAGAGACTATTGTCTGAAATGAGACCATTGTCTGATGTGTATGTCACTAGAATATAGAATAAGGAAGGCTTAATTAACCTGTTTGGTATCAATAAGCAACATGTATATGTAATGTTAGCCTGTACCAGGCTTCGGGAAGGGGTTGGAAAGAGTAGAATTGGCCAAATAGACAAAGTATACTACTAGTATTCGGCCAATTTCTACTCTTTCCAGATGCTTCCCCAAGCCTGGTAGAGGCTACATATAATGTTATACACAGATGGCTATGCCTATAGACTAACCAAAGTCTATGCTCGCTTTCCTGCTAACAATTGGAAGTTCTACACATTTGCTGTAAATGTATAGTCAAGATTGTTACTTAGTGATCACATACACCATGGACTGTCACTGATGTCACTTTGCTTCATGTTGTACCTGATATGTCATCGACCTTGATTTCTATTGCTCCAGGAAACTTGACTTTGAGGATGTTGGCTATCCGTGTTTCTCCGTCTGTCGATGTGCAGTACCAACGTTGTCTCATCACAGATACCTGTACATATATCATAAATATTATAAGAGTATGTTTATAAATTTTGCAAGTTCTTTCTCTACCAAGAGATGTGTTTCAGTGACTACGAAAAAATAATTTGTCTTGCATCTCAAAACTATGAAACATGAATGATTTGCCAAGGAATAGAAGTACCAAATGCATCAGATTTTGCAATTCACAAGAACTCTAAAATTTATTTTATTAAAATTAATTTGCGACATCATTTTTGACAGGAGGAGAATCATTTATTTTTCGTTCTATACAAACATAACTGAACACTTACCAAAAGTTGTCTAGAGAGGCTTCGTAACATTATGCTTGATATGATCATGATTGTGAGCTGTCAATATTTTCTTTCAACAGGTATAATGTGTTCGCTGCATCAGCAACGTGCAGCTTTGCACGTAGGAAGGTCACTTTTCTTTTTAATCTGTGGATCAAACCATTGCGTGATATGGGGAATTACGTAACGTGTAAATTTGCACTATTGTTGTTTCTTTGTACATTTCAGCAGATTTAATTATAAAACTCATTAAAACTTTAGCAGTGTTATTAATTTTGATTAGAAAACGACAAATATTGTGTGGTATTTTACTTTCCCACAAGCTGGGAGGAGGAAGCCTCCCTCTCTTTAATGGTAGATTCCAACATGGCTGCCCACTGGTGTTTGCAAGGCAGCACGTGAAATAGTTCAAAAGTTTCTGCACTTTTCTCGTCTTGAAGAGCTGCGAAAAACGTGAGTATTAGAAAAGGGTATTTGGTGAACCGAACGTATTGCATATGCGCTGCTTGATGTCAAACATTGATCTGTAGTGTAACGTAGGCAAGAAAGTTATCGTGACGAGGTAGCCGGGGGAGGGGGGCTGAGAAGTATAATTTTGGGAATTTTATAATAAATTATATACGTAGCGTAGCGTAAGATAAATGATATCAATGGGAAGTTAGCTATGGGGACATCGAGATACGACGAATATGTACGATTGGTGCATCGTGAAATGGCCACCACAAGATAAAACATTATAAGCTCATCTGTGTTCAAGGGATTTGATTATAAAATTATGATCATGATAATCAATTTGACTTACGTCTGAACTTTTGATTCAACGTCAAGAAAACAAATACGAATATTCTTTGTTTTATGAGTCAGTTTTTTTGTCAGGTCAAAAGTTAAATTCTACTCAACATACCAAATTGTTCTACTACTCAAACCCCCCTTTCAAAACCCCCTTTTCAAACTTAAGAAGAGACTTTAAAACGAAGAGACTTTAAAAAGTCTCTTCTTAAGTCCTCTGTACACTTAAACATTCAAATGACTTATACCTCATCCTGCCAGGTCTCCCAGATGTTAACGTGGGAGATCCCGTCCCAGCGCCTGTCCGGGGTACAGTTCAGTACCTACAGTGCAGAGGAGATCTGCAGACTGAGTGTGAAGGAGATCACCAACCCTCAGACATTCGACAACCTCCTGCACCCAACCACCGGGGGACTGTACGATCCAGCACTCGGTAAAACTTCTGCTTTTCTTACCTGAAAATAAGATAATTTTTTGCCATATTTTTCTACATACTGCCCTATAATAATATCAATGACTAGTATCATTAGCCAGAAGTAGCCAGTGAAGTAGCCAGAAAAAACTCTTCAATGTACAAACTATAGAACTAGGAGAGTAGAAACAGAAAGACACTCCTGGTCCCTGGGCCGGAGATCGAACCCACTCCAATCCCGGGCACCAGCTCTAACGATTTGGCTAAAAGGTCTATACCCGTCAGACGGATCAGTTGGTAGCACCTATAAACCTCCCACTGGTACACCTTCTTACAATTAGACAACACTTGCATTATCAAGCTTGTCTACTTTAGGATGATTTGCTGTTGACAACTTTTTTATATGTTTCTAGATAACATTCTAAAATTTCAATAACTTTTATAATAGATCCACATCATCATCCAGTAGTACTTATGTTTCTTCTCTCTCCATATATAGGTCCAACAGACAGAGATGACCTGTGTGGCACCTGTGCCCAGAACTACTTACACTGTCCTGGTCACATGGGCCATGTCAACCTGCCACTCCCAGTCTTCAACCCTCTCTTCCTCAGACTGCTGTATCAGGTCAGTAGAAAGGAATTTTTTTATGTTAACTTCTAATTAATTTTAGTTTTTCATATTAACTAAGTTAAGTTTAATGAAGGGACAGTGGTATGGTATGAAGTTTTAGTTTATTCAATTTTCCATAACAGTCGATCAACAAGGTTCTAGAGAACAGTTATCCAGGATTATGTAATGTTCAAAATGGAAAGGAAAGCTTTTTTTCATTGAAGAACATTTTGTTCCAGATGCTGAGAGGATCCTGTTTCTACTGTCACAGACTGATGTGCCCCAAGATTCAGGCTCAACTCATTACTAGTCAACTCAAGGTAAGTTGATTTTACACTATTCTTTTTATACAATTAACCAATGAAAATGACACTGCCACATGTACCAATGTCCTCTGTACTCTCGTTGTTACCAGTGCACCAGAAGTATCCTCAGCTCTAAACAATGCTTAAAGTTAGATGTGCAAAGGTTCAGTGTGACAGGATATTTAATGTAACATGTAACAGTTGTTATTGCATTCCTGCAAAGGAGGTGTGTTATACTGAATGGCAGCTACACCATCTATACAGATACAGATAGTTACACAATAGGCTCTATTCTGTGTGACAAACCTGTAGGTATTAGACCATGGGCTGGTGCAGATGGTAGAGAAGCTACATGGAGTCCTGAGTGGGATCCTGGAGGAGGAGGGGGAGGCTGATGATGACTACATCGCCCAGCAGCTGCAGGAGGAGGCACAGAAAGCCATCAGTGGTAAGGACTTTTTATGGGCTGGAGACATATTAGTTCTGTGTCATATTAAGGTAAGTAGAATATCAGAAATACTGTGTGAAATCTGAAGAGGTATTATAGATGACACTCGCAGTACAGATCAAGTGGTAATAGATACATAACCAGTGATTTCCTTTTGCATTAAGTATTGACTACAGCTACATTCATAAGCCATATCTTTATTTCATTTGATAAGGTCTGAGAAGGTTGACACTGTCCCAGATTTCTGACTTGAGTCCAGTACCTAGCAGACAAGACAGGCCATGATTTATGATACAATGAATAAATGAACTTTATTGCTTGACAGTTGTACATGGTACAATTTATGGCAACAATGACAATGTCTTCGGTGGCTCAGCAAGGCACAATCCAAGTAGAGTCATCCAAGACTTTTCAATTTAAAGTTGTTGTTTGAAAGGCTTAACATGTACTAGTGTGTTAAGTATTGCATTTTGTCCTAAATTGGTAAGATATGTCGAGCTGAACTGACCTTTTTGATTCTTTGGTTTGGATCCCAGGGGTGGACACAAAAATGACCCAGACACAACAAAACATGAAAACTGCTGTCGGGAAGAGGAAAGATCTAGTGAAGGAATTCACAAAGGACTACTTCAAGAAAAGGGGAACGAGGTGTCTTCACTGTAAAAGCCCAGTCAGAAACCTCAAGATGCAACACAACAGTAGAATCTTGTTCAAGGGAATACCCAAAAGACACTTTAAGAAGAAGTATGAGGATGGTGAAGAGGGAGAAGATGAAATAGGAGAAGGGTAAGTACACAATACAAGTGACCAGGATCTTGGCTCCCTAATGGCAGTAGATAATTTCATCTATAAGGAAAATTCTTTACGACATGAAATGTTGTCATTTGCTTAAAAGAAATGATTGTAACATACTTGTGTACTTGGTTCATTCATATTACATGGATGCAAATATATGGTTATGTAGGCTACATATAGGACATGATAAGGGAAACTGGGAAGGTTTTATGTACTTAGTATATTTTTTCAATTGTAGAATAAAAGCCTAAATTGATTCTCATTCTTTGCTGCATATGTATCAAAATAACAGGATCAAGATCCTAAATCTGAAATATAACCATGCAGTCAATGAGTTATTATAGATAGATGTTATGGTACAAAAATGTACCAATTTTGCTCTTAATTGTCATGTTGAATACAGGGAACAGAAGGATTGGTTGGCTGATAAGCTTGATGTGAAGAACGTCATCACAGACTCTACTGTTGAATCAGGGTACCTCACCCCCTACGAAGCCAGGGCACATCTTAGAGCTCTGTGGAAAAATGAAGGTAAGGTCCTTCCTATACTAGTAGCCATTGCAGGTCCCATCTCTTATAAACATTGTATTTTGATTAAGCTTTTTGACAAACATACAGGGATGCAATTCTAACTGTACAAGGCTAAAAATCTGTTGGTACTGATTTTTCATGTATACAATTCAGCATCTTGAAGTATAATCTTGATACATTTATGTGAAATATTTGGCACATGAAGCATTAACTTGTTTGAATGAAGAATTTCAGTGTGGAACCTACATGTATGTTTGAACTTATCTCCAGGTGAACTTCTGTCCAACCTGTTCGGTGCCCTGAGGCTGGTCCCACAGGGAACATGTCCCATCGACATCTTCTTCTTGGAAGTTTTACCAGTTCCACCTTCCAGATTTAGACCAGTAAGTCTCAAATAACTTCTCTCGGTGTAAGATAAGAAATGCTATCAATGTGTAACATTCTTGGGCAGTATTGTGTTGTTTAAGATGATACATGTAGTATCTTTTCTTAGTTTTAGGAACAGATACGTGTAGATACATTAAGAAACTTACATACTATTTCCTTTTCCGCAGGTTTCAGTCCTTGGTGACAAAAGATTTGAGAATGCGCAGACCTCAAACCTGGCCAAAGTTCTGGCAGAGTGTGTTGTAGCCAGAAAGTTGCTACAGGAGATGGGGAAAGAGGAGGGGGAGGATACAAAAACTGGAGGGAAGGTGAGTGGTTCTATCTGATACAATGTAATTTGACTTCAACATTGATCCATCTTCTTATATTGTATAGCATCTGTTATATCCATGAATAGTTTCATCAGGTGGGAATGCATCTATGGCAGGGACACCTGTTCTGCAGTGCAATGTGAATCAGTCAGAATTGCCCTGAGGAAGGTGACAGATGGTCATCGAAACATCAGCTGTGAATAAAACACTTTGTGTGAAAAGAGTCTCTATTTACTCAGCATCTGTAATACTTTTTCATCTTCTGTAGTAAAAAATGGCCAATGACTCAAAAGTAGTAGCAATCATGGAAAAAACACAGACAAAATGACAGTAGTAACTTCAGTAGTAATAGCTACATTTTGTATTTTCATGTTTTTTTTAAATGTTTTGCTGATGTTGTCTCATTTCTACACCCAGACCATTCTACATGAGATATCAGGGACGACAGTAACAGAGAAGGTGAACAACGTCTGGCTGAGACTACAGACGTCTGTGAACAGGGTGATGGACAGTGATCTGGACAAGCTGTCCAATGACAGGAGCCCTGGAATAAAACAGGTACTGGAGTGTTCAGTGTAGGAAAGCCAATGAAGGATGCCTACATTGTCTGAAAGGCTGTTTGTCAGTCAGTGTGACGATGACCACTTTGTCATCCATCTGTAGTCGCGTGTCCTCATGTGGCTGTACAGTCCAATTGTCATGATAACAATCAGATCTGAAAAGATTGATTTTCCTTTTGAAGTATGTGTCAATCATTTAGAATGTAGGCACAATGCCTGCCAGTGGACTTGATACTTGATACTGGGTGTTCAATCGCTCAATTCATGTAGGGGAAACACAACACATATTGGTAGTTCCTCAATTGAATTTGAGGCAAACTTGAATGCCAGATCTGATGAAAGAAACTGCAAAAGCAGCAAGTTTATAAGTACAATCACAAACACGTTCTCTGTTGATGTAGCTGATAGAGAAGAAAGATGGTTTGTTCAGGAAACACATGATGGGGAAGAGAGTGGACTATGCTGCCAGGTCCGTCATCTCCCCTGATCCTTACATCAACATGGATGAGATCGGGATTCCTCTGGTGAGTCATGTTATCTTCAAACTAATCAAGTATATCACTGGAATGTAACAAAGTCTTCTTTAAATCATCACTCAGCGTTCATTGTATGAATAGTTATGAGCCCTTCAAGCGTACTGAAAAGCAGTCCCTATGTTGTGATGTTTTGCTGCAAATGTGACGTTTTGTTGTCAGGTTTTTGCGACCAAGCTGACCTACCCCCAGCCTGTGACAGCGTGGAATGTCCGAGAACTCAGGCAGGCTGTGATCAACGGACCCAACGTTCATCCTGGGTACGGGTTTCATCAGTTTTATCTAATATCTGTATGAAGCAAAAAACACTAAAAAATGTAGTATGATAAAAGTTAAGACCTGCAGTG